GTAGCACAATTTTGTTCTGTCTGTGGAGCCGCAGGTCCATTACATATTTTGCGGTTTTCGCTCAACTGGGGTGCGCTCTCGTGTCGCGCGCTCTTGTGTCGCGCGCTCAACTGGTCATGCGCTCTCATGACGTGCGCTCTAGTGTCAAGCGCGCTACTCTCGCAGCGCCCTCGTGTCGCGCGCTCTAACGTCGGCGCTCTAGTGTCGCGCGCTCTAAAGGCGCTCTCCCGCTTGCAGCTCCTGCATTGTTTTCTGAAATCCAAATTCCGGTTCACCATCCCTTTAAGGGCTAGTTTCCCCAGTTTCGTGTCCATGGGAAAATAAATCTCGACACAACCCTCTGGACAGCTACCGCCATCTATGAGCAACGGCGGCAACCAGACAACCGGCTGGATGTCACATCGAGTAAGGTCACGTAGAACGCTCTCCTTCTAACTTTATGGTGAGGCTTTGGCACCACATAATCATGTAACGTAACTGTGATGCAACGTCATTGTGCCACATGATGTTATAATTTCTGTGCTATACACCAACTCATGTTTACAAACAAACCGGAGCGCCCCTTGCGGAAGCCACCCACGCCGCGCATGCGCGGTGGGGGTGTGGGCAAGAAGCTCGCCGTCGCCCATATACAAACCATTGGAATGGGATGCTGTCGGCGTCGGCGTGAGTCCCCGCGCTCTTTTTCGCTTTGGAATTGTTGATTCTACATCTTCCTGGTGATGTCTGACTACTTGAGTGGCCTCAGCGAAATTAACGAGGCTCGTTACACCGCAAAACTCGGCGTGAATAATGTAACATGCGGAGATTAATTCCGCGTGGACGCCGCAGAATGGACGCTAAAGCCTGATTCACGTGGTGAGGTCCTGCTCGCTATTTTTAGTCATGACATCGCTCGGGTTGCAAAAGCCTGAACAGTAGCTGAGATGTCGACGTTGATACCGAAAATCGCAAGCAGAATCGGACCGAGTGAATCAGGCATAACAAGTCGGTGATGGCCACTGGTAACAATTATCAACATCTTTTTATATCTACTTTTTACAGCGAGCCTACTTACCCGAAGCAACATTCAAACTTAAACGTCTTTTGAGGTCTGCACTTCTTATCGCAATTACCGGGTCAACGTTTGGTCTACGGGACGCTGTCGTTAGAACGAGCAGACAACAAGCAGAAACGTTTGAGAGAGCAGACGACAGCTCGAACGATGAGGCGGCCGTTTGAACGTGATGACGCACTGAACGTAGTCCGCAGGTGGTTCGTAAAACTTGACGGTTTTCCCGCGTTCATGTTGGAACAAAACAAATAAATCTGACGACCACAAATATTCCTGAATTCAATCCAAAGTGCTTTCCGCCCAAACAATCGTGGCCCGACGGCCCTTGTTCACGTTCTCGGACGAATCGAGCAGGCAGGAAACGCATGCAAACTGACCTTAAAACCTTTTCCAACTCTTTTGGTAAAGCCTCAGTCGCGGCGTTTTGACGAAAGCAGGTTTTCGTCCGGTTTCTTTCAAAGTAACACAGGAATACGCGTGCCCCATGGCGGCTTCCGCCCACAGCCCCAGACCGGAAGTGCGCCCGACGCGCCACCACCGCGCCGTGACATAACAGAGATGAGTTTGTATATATATATGTATATATATATATAGAATGAGTTTGCATCCCCTGGTATGCAGCAGAGTGAGCACCGCCTCGGCCGTTGCCACAGTTCTTTGGCAGGACACCGCGAGGTACCTGCCTTTTTTTTCTCTTATAAAAGGTGTCACAAAAGAAAATTTACACGGTCTTTTTTACCTCAAAAATAAACTAGGCATTTTTTCTTTGCGACGCCCTGTACATACTATCATAAAATATCGCGCAAGTGGCCACTTCGTTCAATCGCCCACTAGTAACATTTCCCAGACTGCAGATTGCACTTTAACCGCCCGCTTTGACCGAACAAGCGCCCATATCTAGGTTAACCCAGCTTTCAATAAAAGTGAGAGCGCTTTACGTAGTCACAAAAAACTACAGAAAAAAAAAAAAAAAAAACAACAAGAAGAGCAGCTTTTACCTTTACAGCTTGCAGTCAGAGTGAGGGGCCACGTGGCCCGTTGCCGACTAGAAACAATACCACATAGATGAAAAAGCCTTCACGCTACTCCCGTGACGTCGCCAGTGTAGAAAATATTTTTATTTTTATTTATTTATACTACCGGCCGCCGTGGGGCGGCCAAGGTAGGAGGGATACATGGATCAAGTTTTACGAAAAAAGCAAGCACAGAGTGTGGCAGCGCAGCATAAGCCACAGCATGGCAGAAAAACTAGACAGCCGTGCGAGGATTGACCGTCGTGGCCACGACTATTAGCGGCGAGATGTTTTGGTGGCGCCCTCCTATGGTTCCCCCTTGTGACGTCATTACCTTGCAAACAACAAGTTCAATGGTGTTTGTAAATAGCATGGTGGAAGCTTGAAATCATTGCGCTCTCAAAGGAACACTGTACCGTCAAAATTAAAGTTCTTTCATTCCTCCTATTTCCGTCGATGATAAATTGTTTTCTGACGTCATAGTCACCGTTCGGCCAAACGTGGAAGTCCGACCACAGCGACACTTTCGGTCGCGCACGTCGCCAATAACGTTGAAAGAATTAACTGCTCGTATTTGTATATTGTTTATTTTGGTGCAAGTGTCTTTCCCTAAAATACCGCAATTGCAATGCATAATTGCAACAACATTATTTCCAGATTTGCAGCCGCATATGCGGTTAGGGGAACATCAGTGTCATGTCTGGGGAAGCACACACGCTTCCGTAGAGCCATCCAACAAAAATCAACCAAGCCATTGCCTCTCCACTGCTCCCCTTCCCGTCAGATCCATCTTTTGCCTCGATCGGTCGTCGAGACCTTTGACGATTATAGACCCCATAAAAAGTCGACAATCGACACTGGGGGTCTCGAAGACAGAAGCACCGGTACCCTTTGTGACATCACTCGAAGGACGGTGTGAAAGTTGAGGAGTACCGCGAACTTCCATCTGTTTCATTTTTATTATGAAATCTAACGCACGCAAGAAAAATGGGGTTTTCGTTCTTCATTTCATAGGAGACATAGACTAATTCCGGTGGTTAATTGTCCAAAGTTCGAAACTCGTTGCACCGCCCTTTAAGCGTGTTTTATATCCGAGACGTGAGCTACGATCAATACTGAAATCCATTGCAGAAGTATACTCGCATGTAGACCCAGCTGCACCTATTATACTAGTACAAATGTGTGACATTCACAAACTAGGATAGATAAAATTAAGAACTAGGGAAGCATAAGTAAAACTCTAATCAGGGTGCTAACGGTGGGGAGCTGAATCCCAGTCTATGCTTCACCATAACAACCAGAGCACGAAGGCCAGAAGTCACGACGAAAAGCCCGGACCCTAAAATAAACTATACGATGGCGAGCGTTGAACTCGCAGCAAACTGCCTGCCTCTCCAAGCGTTCGCAGCGCTGAACCCTGTCGGCGTTTTGTTAGTTAAATAGCTTGACGCGCAAAATGCCCACCCAACAGAGTATAAAGGGGAACGTACCAGGCGTTTCCTCTCGCGTAGCTCTAACATTAAACGAACCGAATCAAAGAATTTTCATTAAACTCGCGGCTCGTCGTAACGGCCCACCTCACACCCAGCACCCGCGTAAACATGGAACTGCAATCCTTTGATCCCAAAGCTGACAGTGCAGTAGAAGCTACGCGCCTGTTGGACCATTCTTAAGATCGTTCTTCACCACGTGATCGCGCTGCAGCCCATAGCTTCGCGCAGAGAGCGCGGTCAGGAGACTCAAAAGAAAAGGGGTTGATGAGTCCGGCGAGCGCGTAACTCCCACCATGCTGTCAAGTGAGGGTAACGGAGTATACATGGCTCGCTTCAGCGACCGTGCCAGCAGACCATCTTACGACCCCTCGTATACCGTCGCGCAGAGCGGTTTGTTCCAATAACCGACGACTCCTCCAACGGTCCTCGGTTTAAGGGAAATTGGGGTGATCGTGTTGTGGAGGCAAATAGCGGTGTACGCGTGTGCCACCGTCGAGGCCCGGTTTGCAAGTGCGGTCAAAAACCTTGGGGAAGGCCATCGATCGCGCTGCGCGCGACGGCGAACGCCGGGACTCTGCAACGCGGATTGTGATTATTAGGCGTGCGATAACGAAGTCTATCAATAGAGGCGCTCGTTTCGGGAGATGCGGGTTCGAGAAAAAGAAGTTATGAACCGCCTCCTACTTTTGTTCTGCAGGACCTGCGCCTTGTCGCGTGCGAGCAAGAGATACGATCCTTCGAGGTACATTGGTTTTTGATCCCGAAACCTAAAAACTCTCTTGGCATGTTCTTGTTTTATTTTCCTGACAAGATCTGGGTAAAGACGTACCGACGAGGGTTTTGCTCGATACATTGGGTATTCTAAAATTATAAGATTTTTTCGGGGAACGAAGTGTAGCACAAAAAAAAAAAAAAAAGTGTAATTCAGGGTACACTACTCCCACCAAAATAACAAATTCTGCTCTCATCTTGTGCACTGTGGAACACTTAGGAACACTATGTGACACTTTTAACACGAACACTACAAAGCCGCTTTCTGGCATTTCCCAAAAAAGTGAAGACCACGCGAGTACAGCTGTGATCAGCGCTCAATGTACCCAAGCACACGGGTGCCAATGGCTTTAGCGCCAAGAAAATTGCCCCAAGTAACAGAACTTCTAACGTCACGGTTGTGTGCTGCACACATGAATACTAACCTTGTTGCGACAACTTCTCCCATACTAAGGAATTATGGAACATGTTCTGTAATTCAGTGATATGGAGCATATCATGGCAACAAGGTTAGCATATATCTTACCCATATTTGAAAGTTTTTTTTTTTTTTTTCTGACAGTGTAGGGTGAACCATAACGCGAACTCTTATCTTTTGAAAACGGTTTTAATAGTACTAAAATATCTGCTATATACATATTTACAGAATTTCTTGTAACCTAGGTCAGTTCGTCGGGACAGCGGATGACTTGCTGCTGGCGATTGCCCAGTATGGTAGCATCGACAGCTTGTCGGGGCTGTGGGTAGAAGAAAAAAACGTCGCAACTTCAGCTTAACCGTCGACCGAGCTGCCAGAAGCGCCAAGTAAATGGTCAGGTCTAGAACTCGCTGCTGCAGGTGGTGCGGTCATCCGCATGCCTCCGCCTGAACCAAGGTAACAAAGAACGAAAGAGAACAAAAGTATGACGCGCTGCAGCAGCAGATGAACGAAGTGAAGAGCCGCATCGCAAGCCAGAGGACAGGATATGACGATGGACGATTTGCATTATCTTCGGTGGGTTGTAGGAGGGCCATGAGGTCAAAGATGAAACTGCAAATGTACCAAATGATGACAATTTTATAGAGCTATAAAACTTTATTGTTCAGTTCAAGGGTACCGGATTTCATATTCACATCACCAGAATATCTTAATTTTTAGGGCGGCACATTGCGGTAAACAGCTGTATACTTTCTGGCATAGTCGCCTCATGCTGTGCTGGCAATTACATTATAATAAAGCGTAGCTATGCAAAACAAATACTACATACTTACGAATAAAGCAAAAACTAATCTAAAAGACGCTCATAAATAAAACTAAAAGCGTGTTTGTTACAATCAGGGTACATGCAAAGAAGAAACAGACAACAGAAGGGCCAAAAAAAAACAAAAAAAAACACTTGTTTTGGGAAAAGGCTGCTCACAACCCATGTACAGTATGTTGATACTCTCTTTTAGCCGACAGCCGACGTGCGTGTGTATATCAGTTCCGCATGATGTACATTAAGACCCAAGGCTAGCTGACATCTGCATTGGCTCATATTGTCACATAGAGCAGAGGGATAATGCTAGAGGCCGCTGCCGTTGCTATCAGCAGTACGCGTAGTACTGACGTCACCGGGCGCTCTATAAGAAGAGCACCGTCATACGCGCAGCCAGATCGCTGCCGGCCTCTGCGGAAATAAAGCTGTTTCGCAGTCCTTCCTTCGTCTGGCCACTCCTTGCACCGCAGACATAACAACTGGCGACGAAGATGGGGGCAACAAAGCCAAGACGAAGGTGAGAAGCCTTGAAGCTGCGTCCAAACAGACAGCGAAACATCACCGCACGCCGCTGGGTACTCGGCGACAGCAAGTTTCTCAAGATGGCATCCTCCAGTCATATCGGCCAAGTAGAAGCCTTCGATGAAACTGTGAGTGACTGGCAGTCTTATGAAGAAAGGTTGACGTCCTTTTTTCTGATCAACAAAATACCTGACGACCTCAAGGTGCATGCTTTTTTAAGCGTTATTGGGCCTAAAACGTACAGTCTCTTGAAGTCTTTGACGGCACCTGCCAAACCGTCAGAAAACACGCTAGAGCAACTAACCCAATTGCTGCGAAATCAGCTGTCACCGAGAGTATCAGTGATTGGAGAACGAGCGAAATTCCATCGCCGTAGTCAGTTGGAACACGAGAGTATCGCACAATATGTAGCGGAGCTCAGGAAGCTCTCTCAAACCTGTGAATTTGGCGGTTTCCTAGATGAGTCGCTGAGAGATCGGTTCGTGTGCGGTTTGTTCCGTGCGGACATACAGCGGTATTTGTTTGCAGAGGATAAAACGTTGACATTTCAAAAAGCCGTTGAACGCGCACTCGCGTTAGAAGAAGCTAAAAAAAATGTTCAGGAGGCGCACGCAAAAGAAAGGAGCGATGACTTGCACAAGATGAGTACCGAAGATTCCGCGAAAAGGAAACAGTCGTTCGAGTGTTATCGCTGTGGCTCTGATAAGCATTTCGCCCGGGCGTGTCCGCACATTGCAGATAAGTGCATGAATTGCGGCAAGAAGGGTCACGTTCAGCGTGCATGTCGGAGTGCCAAGAAGAAGACTGTTGGCGGAAAGAAGTGGGTCCGGACTCTTCAAAGCGACGACACATTCAACGTCAAGATGCTGTCACCGCAAAGCCGGCGACCCATCACCGTCGACGTGGAAGTTCAAGGAACTTCCTTGAGCATGGAATTGGACACGGGAGCCACGGTGTCCATAATACCGAAGCAGCAGTTCAAGAAATTTCAGCCTCCTTTGAAGCTTGAACCCACCGAGCTACGCCTCAAGACTTACACCGGGGAAGTCGTGCAACCCTGCGGTTTCGTCAAAGCGTCCGTAAGATACAAGGGTCAAGAGGACGTTCTACCCCTCTACGTAGTTGACCACAATGGCCCGCCTCTTTTGGGCCGCGAGTGGCTCACACGTCTTCGTCTGGACTGGGACAACATCTGCGGCGTACACAAGCTGTCGGACCCTCATCGGTCTGATGCAAGCAAGAAGTACTGTCGTGAGCAAAAGTCTGGATAACACGGGAGCGCCGACCGAATTGCATCGCCGCGCTCCCTGACGGCGCGGCGCCTGGTGCCGAGACCCGCGCAATGCGCACGCGCGTCCTTTCTTATCTGCTGGCCCTCTCGTTTGCTCGCTTCAACGCGATGCGCTCCTGAGCGATTAAATGGGCGCGAGGTGCCGCCCCGGGAACCAAGATTCCGAGAGCGTCGCTCACCGCTCGGGACGAGCTCGCGTGCTCCGCGGCACGCGCCGTTCGCGCATATCTTTCCCGCGACTCGGCGACGCGTTAAAAACTCTCGCTTCCCTCCATTCCTTATTTTTAAGCTTCCCCCTATATTTGCCCCGGCTACAATGCAAACAGCTGCTGCTCAATTTATTATGCACGCGTTGTAATGGGTCAAGAAGTCAAGAAAATAACGAGAAAAAAAATGGTACTGGCCACAAATTCTCAGCATGGTTGTTCGCGAAGTGACCTTAAAATGTTCAGTTTGACATCAGCGGTAATGACTTGTACCGGAAGTCATAAAATAAAGCGGCTATGCAACGATTTACGGACAATGGCCAAATAATTATAGGAGTTGTTCTCCGACACTTCTAAAGTAAAGAGCAGAAAAGCGATTTATTCTGTGTGCCCTAATTATGATTTTAAACAATAGCAAAGATTCAAGCTTCCGGCACCCCTCAACTCTCCGAATGACGTGCTCAGTGACGTCGACGTGAGGATGCACCGGTTTCCGAGCGCTCTCCTCAATGATGTTTACTCTTTCTTTCTCTACTGCTCTTCGTGAGGCGTTGAGCTGCAGCGATCCCCGCGTCACCGTCACGGCGCGTTTCCCATGGCCGCCGCGCACGGCAGTAGAGGGGGAAATATTTCCATTTCTGCTTTGCGATTACGCAACAGAATTGCAACATTTTGCTGGAAAGTGATGCTTTTTCGATTCTTTCTGACGCTATCAACAATATAAAAATTACAAGCCACCCAAACTGAACCAGCGCCTCTTTTTCCTTCCGTTTTGTTTCTTCTTTTTTCTTGGGAGGGGGGTTGAATAAATATTTCTTTCTTATTTGGCGTTTTCTTTTTGCTAGTCATTCACCACTTTACCGCGCGTGCATGATCACTCGGAAGGAAGTCCAAGGCTGCCTCGAGTACGCGAAAACAAGTTCTACAATTCATTGCGGCTGCATCAACATAAGCGAGAGTTTTTAACGCGTCGCCGAGTCGCGGGAAAGATATGCGCGAACGGCGCGTGCCGCGGAGCACGCGAGCTCGTCCCGAGCGGTGAGCGAGGCTCTCGGAATCTTGGTTCCCGGGGCGGCACCTAGCGCCCATTTAATCGCTCAGGGGCGCATCGCGTTGAAGCGAGCGAACGAGTGGGCCAGCAGATAAGAAAGGACGCGCGTGCGCATTGCGCGGGTCTCGGCACCAGGCGCCGCGCCGTCAGGGAGCGCGGCGATGCAATTCGGTCGGCGCTCCCGTGTTATCCAGACTTTTGCTCACGACAGTACGAGGCACGCCTAAAAGAACTTCAAGCCAAGTACAGCCGCATCTTCGACGGCACCCTTGGCAAGATAGAAGGTGAGCGAGCCACTTTATTTTTGAAAGAGCAACGTCCGAAATTCCTCAAAGCGAGAAACGTGCCTTACGCACTCCGGTCGGCCGTAGAGGAAGAGTTGCAGAAGCTTGAACAAATGGGCGTCATTACGCAAGTGTCAACCAGTGAGTTTGCTACGCCTATTGTACCGGTAGTTAAAAAGGACGGCACCATACGTGTGTGCGGGGATTACAATACAACGTTGAACCCTGTCCTAGACACGGAGCAGTACCCCCTGCCCAAACTTGAGGAAATACTAGCTGCGCTCGCCGGAGGCAAATACTTTTCCAAGCTAGATCTTAGCAGGGCATACCAGCAGGTAGAGATGTCGGAGGACTCAAAAAAACTTCTCACACTAAACACGCACAAAGGGCTTTTTGCGGTGAACAAACTCCCTTTCGGAGTAGCGTCTGCGCCCGCGTTGTTCCAGCGCATTATGGACAACATACTTAAAGGACTACCGGGTGTCATATGCTACCTTGACGATATTCTCGTCACGGGAGCAACCGCTGAAGAACACCTCAGGAACCTTGAAGCCGTGTTTTGTACACTTCAGCAGAAAGGTGTTCGCGTCAAGCGTGAAAAATGTGAATTTTTCAAAGAAAGCCTGCAGTATCTGGGGCACATTATCAGCGAGACCGGCGTCAAGCCAAGCGAGGAAAAAGTTCAAGCGTTGCTGCATGCCCCAGCGCCTACTAACATCGCACAGTTGCGTTCACTGCTTGGACTGATAAATTACTATGGAAAATTCACGCCACGGCTAGCAACGCTGGCAAAGCCTTTCTACAGGTTACTACAGAAGGATGCTCCCTGGTGCTGGAATCGGAAATGTCAAGATGCCTTCCAAGCCATCAAGGAAATCTTGTCTTCGACGGAGGTGCTGGCACACTACGACCCGGCACGCCCGCTGCAGCTATCCTGCGATGCGTCTGCGTATGGTCTCGGCGCTGTGCTGTCGCACGTCATGAAAGATGGCACGGTAAGGCCAATTGCCTACGCTTCCCGAACATTATCAAAGGCTGAGGAAAACTATAGCCAGATTGAAAAGGAGGCGCTCGCCCTAATCTTTGGCGTCAAGAAATTCCACTTCTACATTTATGGTCGGGAGTTTACGTTGATTACTGATCATAAACCTTTGCAAGCGATCCTTGGGCCAAAGAGTGGGATCCCGGCAATAGCCGCCGCAAGACTGCAGAGGTGGGCGGTAACTCTGTCAGCCTACAAGTATAAACTTGCCTACAGGATATCCGCAGAGAACGCGGACGCGGACTGTTTTTCACGACTTCCGTTGCAGTCCACAGAAGTAGACGACAGTCACGACGAGACGTTTTATACGCTGCGATTGGCATCTCTACCAGTCACCAGTAGGGACATCACGCGTCATACAGAGCGTGATCCCATCCTCGTCGCCAGTTATGTCTGCGGTGCAAGGAGTGTCCAGACGAAGGAAGGACTGCGAAACAGCTTTATTTCCGCAGAGGCCGCCAGCGATCTGGCTGCGCGTATGACGGTGCTCTTCTTATAGAGCGCCCGGTGACGTCAGTACTACGCGTACTGCTGATAGCAACGGCAGCGGCCTCTAGCACTTCCTCCACCGCAATTTGGAAAGTCATGAGGCTTCATAGCGATCGGGGGGTCTTCTCTGGCGTTGTGGGTATCGCCGAGGCGCAGCGTTAGTGGGGGTGACGGGCACCGTTTGTCTTGCGGAGACAGTAGACGGAGGTGGTACGTCGGCTACAGACGCAGGGAACTCACAGTCCACGAGCGGTGCCTGATGCATGGAATGAGAGTCGTCGTGCCCCCGAAACTTCAACAGCCGGTCCTGGAGGAGCTACACCAGGGACACCCAGGAATAGTGCGGAACAAAGCACTCGCCCGAAGCTACATATGGTGGCCCTCCTTTAAACGGACTTGGAGAACCAAGTGAGACACTCCACGGCATGCCAACAGCAGCGCCACATGCCAGAAAAGGCACCATTGCACCCTTGGTCATGGCCGACACAACCGTGGTCACGGGTACATGTAGATTTTGCGGGCCCTCTTCGCGGTCGTATGCTACTAGTCATTGTAGACGCGCATTCTAAATGGCCGGAGGTTTTTGTCATGACGTCTACCACCGCAGAAGCGATGATAACAAAACTGCGCGATTTATTCGCTCGGTATGGGGCACCAGAAGCTCTGGTTAGTGATAACGGTGCGCAGTTTACATCGTCCGAGTTTAAAGAGTTCCTTAAAGAACAGGCAGTTCGACAGGTTCTCACTTCTGCATATCACCCCAGCAGCAATGGACTCGCAGAGAGATTTGTGCAAACCCTAAAGAACGCACTACGAAAAGGCCCTGCAACTGAAAGTATGGAGGAAACCTTGTCAAAGTTCTTAATGACATATCGCAACACTCCGCATGCGACGACTCAAGAAACCCCATCTTTTCTTTTTTTTGGGTCGTCGGCCACGAACACGGTTGGATGCACTGAAGCCGGCTCTGGATCGTACTATCCGAGCACGTCAGTTTGAACAGACTTCACGGCGCAGGGGTGCTAACAGTGTGTTCGAAGTGAACGATGAAGTGTTCGTGCGTAATTTCAGGAGCGGCCCCACATGGTTCCACGCAACAGTACTGCAGCGGACGGGACCAGTGTCCTACGTGGTCAAGGTGCGGACACCGGATGGACTCCGTACTTGGAGGCGACACAAGGACCACCTGCGCTCAGCGTCTACTGCAGTGACAGCGCCGTCCCTTGTGGGGGAGGACGATACCGACACCATCTATCCTGCGTCTGAAGCCGACGTACCACCTCCGTCTACTGTCTCCGCAAGACAAACGTTGCCCGTCACCCCCACTAACGCTGCGCCTCGGCGATACCCACAACGCCAGAGAAGACCCCCCGATCGCTATGAAGCCTCATGACGTTCCAAATTGCGGTGGAGAAAGTGCTAGAGGCCGCTGCCGTTGCTATCAGCAGTACGCGTAGTACTGACGTCACCGGGCGCTCTATAAGAAGAGCACCGTCATACGCGCAGCCAGATCGCTGCCGGCCTCTGCGGAAATAAAGCTGTTTCGCAGTCCTTCCTTCGTCTGGCCACTCCTTGCACCGCAGACATAACAGATAACACGCCACTTCGAGCAGATTGGCTTAACTGCAGCCTAATCTTCCATAGAGCAAATGACATGAAATATCTGAATATTGAAATTTGTGAGCAAAATTATGTATTGGTATTATCATTAGAGCTTCATATTACTGGACATTTGTTTGTGTCAAACCTATGTATGCACAGTCAGAACATGCAATGTGAATGCATTTCTAGCGCATGACACGGCGTTTTCACAAAGATGCATATACCCTATGAAGTTTTTTTATGTTACTGAGCCATTGGACTTACATGGAAACTATTTTCGCTGGCAGATAGGGCCTTTGAACTTTCGTTTTGAACTTTCGAACTTTCGCAGACTTAAAGTTTGAAAATTGTTGCATGTCTAGTGTGATAATATCGAAAGCCAAAAATTGCCGAAGTTTATATCCTGATAAATTCGAACGTCAAAAGTAATCGAATTTCTTAGCGTAAAAAGTACAAAAATTGTTTAATTTCTTAAATGTAAACTTTTTAAAGATTGAATTGTTTCGAAAAATTTTGCGGCACCTGTAAATATAGTTACAACTTAAACAGTCAAACATTCAGGTTCCCCAAGAATTCCTGCAGGTCTCGTTTAACTGCTGAGCAAGCATACATATCTTAATCTGATCCATCGTATGCATTTACCAAAATCTGCCTGCATACAATCCAGTAGAATGTTTAAACGAGCAAACTTAAGCGTAAGCTTAAGTTTCCTGGCAACTAAAAAAAATGAACGAGTAATTACACTTGCAAAATCAACCAGCACCTATCCGAACTTGTCATAATCCCCTTCCCAATGCCCTACAAGGTCAGTAATGGGAGGGAACCATTCCAATGAGAAGGCGCTACTTACTGCGCATATGGTTCGCAGGGTCGGGCAACATGGGGCTGCTTGCCATTCAGGGTGGAGTTGTGATCTGCAAAAAGAAAACGAGAAGTTGGCAGGAACCAACCAGACTTTATGGAAATGAAGTAACTAAAAAGGTTTTCTCATTACTAATTCAAAAGGTAACTGCGTAAATTACTCATTACTGCTATTCCAAAGGATCGCGTAACTTCAGCTTAAAAGTAAAGCGCTATTTTTTAATTTTTTTTTATAAAGCAGCAGCAGCTTTTAGTGTTTGTCGTGGTCGTTACTAATTACTTGCTTGTAAAGTGCTATATTAGGAATACTTGTGGCTATATCAATATACCTTCTGCGTATCTCGTCATACTAAAGACAGGCGCGAGCTGGTGCAAGAACTATAGTTTGATTGCTTGTGTTGTGCACGTTCCTCTTCAGAAATAGCCAAATAATATTCCTCGTTGCTTTATGGAAAATAACGAAAATACGTTACTCGTTCCTTCTGTTAAAAACTATGTCGTTTTTTCGTCACCGAAAAAAGTAACTATAGGAACCAGCAACTCATTACGTAAAAGTCTGGCATCGACCTATTAAATGAAGTCCATCCCAAAAGATGTGTGCAGCAAGAGGAAAGGATTGGGCATCGCCACATCTCTTGCAAATAGCCGTTATCATAGTTTGTTACGGCGTAACCTAATCGCAACTCAAAACTACGTAATAGCTTTTCTTTTTTCTACACATCCAGTATTGCACGTACAATGCGCGACACGGTTATTGCGAACGCGACGCCGGCTTTTTTACGCATTTATCATCGAAAGGGTAGTGGCAGGCATAAAACTTCGCCGCTTAGGATATAGTCTCCCCAAACGAGCTCTCGTTATGACGCTTTAGTCACTGACTGAGTGAGAACACCGGGGCGTCTCTTTGAACGCCTGGCCTCCAGGATGCTTTTGCTGGCATTTGCCGACACTTCGGCTGCGCGCGCACGCTCGAGTCTCACGAAGACGACATTATAGAATGTCGAAAGCTCAAGCTAGAGACATCTCTCAGTCGTTTGAGTCCTGTCAGTGACTATGGTAGTTTTGAAGCAAATTTGTTCATTCTAAAAGTAAAAAAAAAAAAAAATGAAAGCAATTGCTTGTTTGCGCTAAGAGTGTCACGCAGGATACTTTCCCTTCTCAGACAGAGCATCGAGGAGACTCTTTTAAGGGGCCACTGAAAAGAAAAAAAAAAACTTTTTTTTTTTAACAGTCTGGTTGGGACACACGTGTTAAAAAATAATTACTAACGAGAAAAAAAATTTGCAGCAATAATGACGGCGCGAGACGCGATTTAGTCGGTCGTCACCTCCTTTCCACTTTTTTTCTCTCGACATTTCGGTCGCGTGGAGGAGAGGTAGATCGGCTTGGCCATCACGTTGAGGTGGAGAGAGTGTGTGACCATCTTGCTATGGGGGAAAGAGTGTATGACCATTCCGTGAACATCCACGGGCAGACTTGCCCATTGAAATTCGTTGTCCTCAAAGCCTGTTCGAAAGACGTTACACTTGGAATGGATTTTCTCTGTAAATACGGCGCCGTCCTCGACCTTGGAGTGAACAGTTTGACGCTGCGGAACCTATCCCTACGGCGGAAGATCGCGATGAGATGTCCTTGCCGACCATGTGAACCTGCCGCCGCTGTCAAGTGTCTTCGTGCCGGTCGCGATCGCAACAGTCATGTCCGGTGAAGCTATGTTAGAAGGAAACGTTCAACTGTTCCTGGGAAGCGGAATGGGCATTGCCAGCGGCGTAACGAAGCTCAAGGACGGGCGTGCCATGGCTCTTGTGACGAACTTCCGAAAAGATTTACAGCACCTGACAAAAGACACAGCTGTGGGCCACATCGAAAGTTCCAGACTCAGCCGCAATCGCTTCCCCCTCAGACGACTCTTCATCGCTGCACAAGAGGAGGCCGCCTTCGGAGCTTCACATCGACTCGGCCCTCACAGGCCCAGAACGACGACAGCTTACTGATCTTCGCGCCAAGTACAGCGAATGTTTCGCAACGTCACCAAACGACGATATCCAAGCATCATATCGTTACGAATGAACACGCCCTCCCTGTCCACCAGTCGCCGTACCGTGTCTCCATGAAAGAACGGGAGGTCTTTCGTGAACAAGTTCAAGAGATGCTCGAGAACGAAATCATCCAGCCTTCAAACAGTCCCTGGTCCTCTACCGTATTGCTGGTGAAGAAGGAGGACGGAGCGTTGAGATTCTGCGTGCACTATCGGAGGCTGAATTCTGTGACGAAGAAAGACGTCTATCCGCTTCTACGCATCGACGACACGAGGGATCGACTTCGCCACGCCCGTTATTTCTCATCGACGGACCTCGGGAGTGGCTACTGGCAGATCAAAGTCGACGAGCGGGACCATGAGAAGACGGCCTTCGTGACGTCGAATGGACCGTACGAGTTTAATGTGGTGCATTCCGGACTTTGTACGGCACCAGCCACTTTCCAGCGTTTCATGGAAACTGTGCTGACCAGTTTGAAATGGCAAAGTTGTCTCGTCCCCCTCGACTGCGACTGCGACGAGCACCCGCGACGACTCCCCGCCGTTTTCCAAGCCATCAAGACAGCGAGATTGACGCTCAAGCCTTCAAAATGTCGGTTTGCTTACGGCAAACTGAACTTCATAGGTCACGTCGCAAACAACAACGGTGTTCGTCCTGAGCCTGAGAAGACACGCGCAATGGCTGAAATTTCACCGCCGCGGGACAAGAATGCGTTGAGGAGATTTTTCGGACTGTGCGCCTATTACAGGCGTTTCGTCCGAGATTTCGCGAAGATCTCTGCACCGCTCACCGACCTGACAAGGGGCACCTTTAGGTTTCACTGGGCAGAACAGCAACAGCGCGCATCCGATGAGCTGAAACAGACTTCAGACACCTCCGATTCTCGGCCCTTTCGTTTCGACCAGTATGCTGAGGCTGAAGTCCACATGAACGCCAGTAATACGGGACTTGGCGCGGTGGTGGTGCAAATACAGGAAGGCACAGACCGTGTGATCGCTTATGCAGCTCGTCTCACAAATATCTGCAGTGCTGACAAAGACATCGGTGCGAGCGCGTTGCTTTGAAAAGTGCCTTTTTATACGCGAGTTTTAATACAAACGAATCATACGACTGTGCTTTTTGCATTTTAATGACTAAAAGTTTGTAACTTTTACTTACCTAAAATATTCGTAACACATTTTTGCCCCTTAAGATACACCATTTTACGAGCAAAGCCAAACCCATTACGCCTGAACTCGGTGCAAGTACCTTGAACAGCGCGAAAGCATGAAAACAAAAACTCAAAAGCTCATCAGCGTGCATGGTTAAGTTAATATAGAATAAAATATTGCCGTAATTTGATGGTGTTGCTGGATTGCTATACCCGAAATTAGAGCGGTATATGATGAACACTGCCACCTAAATAGAACGTCCATATGCAAGCTGAGACAACAATGTGTTGGTGATGTGTACTAAGTGCAACATTTTATATGGATTGGCGAACAAAACATTCTTATATTTTCTCAATTGATGTTTGCATATTGAGCAAGTTTTGTTCATCGATTATGAAATTGAAAAGTTGGTCTGTAACAGGTGGCGTCCAGTGAACTTTGACTTATACACCAAAATATGCATGACCAATCGGTCCAGTCATGCTGGTTACAAACGGAATATCGCTCTTTAACAGCAAGGCAGTAACGCGCTTCGGGCTGAGTAGGGTTTGCTTTGGCTATACTTCGCTTACGGGGCAGCAGAAATTTCAGGCCCTATCATCCTAGGGTCTGAAATTATGTTATTATAGTATTGGTCAATGTATGACGGCTTCAATTACGTCGGGCTATAGGTTTTCCAAGGCTTTGTAGGGTTGGGTTGGGTTGGGTTGGGTTTTCGGTTGCGTTATCGGGGTTGGGGTTGGGGTTGGGTTAGGTTAAATAAAATCAGGTTAGGCCAGTTTCGGTTGGCTAAGGTTAGTTTGGTCTAGGGTAGTTTGGATTAGTCGCGATCGATTAGAAACAGGTACGCTCCACCGCCTCTTAGAAACCGTCGCACGTGTATACCTTGATGAGGGTGGCTGTAGGACACCGTTCCATGTCGGCGCTGGTGTTCTCCGTGCTCATCCTGCGGGAGCTGAAGACGTCCTCCGAAATGGAGCTCATGTCCGTCGACAGTCGGGGTCCTCCCGTCGAGCCCGACACCGTCGGGACCGTGAGCAGCAGCGAGGAGGTCGGGCCGTTGTGGCGGGACTCGCCGGCGCGTCCCTTGTTGCCCTGCCGGTAGCGAACGGCAGCCCGGTCCTGCAGGACGAGCGACCGAGTCGTGTACTATATTTTTCCTTTCGCTCGCGGAAGGCAGGTAGGTGAGTGTTGGGACCAGGACCAACTTAAATAAGGGGGAGACCTGTCTACTGAACGGAGGCTCAGCGCCGGCTCAGTAGTACGCGCATTCCTCACGAACGCTCGTGGTGGCGCTTGGAGCCCCCCTACCTTTCCTCCCGGATCCAGTCCGGGACGCCTTGGGAAACACCGAAGCGAGGTGGCTGCGCCTCTGGAATCTGTGTGTTACGATACGAAAATTTAAGTGTCGACTCGAACTGCGGGTAATTGGTGCACTGTTGCGTGCCGCTGTGTACCTCGCACAACAAAAAGGGCGAATGATTTCTATTTCACAAATTTCCATCACCAAGTATCCGCAGAATGGATTAAAAGAATCTCAAGAGCGGGTAAGTCTCGACTTTTTTTTTCATCTCAGTCATTTGGAAAAATAAAAATAATAGCGTCATATTGTATTAGAAGAAAAAAAAGGCATTCAGGACATGTTTCAATGTTTTTGTTTTTTTTCGTTCTTTTCTTTTAAATGCGAAAAGAACTCCCAATGGCGCCCAAGTGATAGCGGGGGCACTGTCCTTTGCTCTCAAAATTTTACAGCAGATGACGATGAGGAGAATGTAAATTTGAAAAAAAAAAAAAAAAAGAAAAAACCCAGAGCGGTGCCAACGATGTTCCGTGTTCGAGATTTATCCGATCGACAAACAGTGCAATTCAAAGCTGACTTGAAAACACCCGGCGACGCCCGCACCACCATCGCAAAAAAAAAAAAAAAAAAAAAAAAAAAAAATGCTATTTTTTTATTTTTTATTTTTTGCGTGCAATTCATTTTTTAGGATAATTGTAACAGTTATACATGGCGACACAAGATTTTTATTTGCTACGGACGGCGAGCCCGGTGAACGAAAGGAATACTGCCTCAGAGGGGCCGAGGTGGAGTCGATGGACCCCTTGATATTTTCGCTTGAAAACAGATTCTTCGAGTGCGTGGACAACTGGAAGAGAACGGCACCGTCGTTCAGCGTATTTCTAACGTCCGAGACGCGCGAGGCCTTAGCAATCAGAACGTTGTCTACTGCATTGTGCACACGCAATCTGTTGGACCAAGGAGTCAAGTACGTTTTAACGTCCAAGTTCTTTTCACACAGAGAAGAGTCGCCCTTCTCTGCGGTGGGGCTGAACGGATGCCTAAGGCGCCCTCTCCTTTCTGCACAAAATTCTTTTCATCATCATTTATTATCCTTGTAGGTTTTTACGGGCATTCCACAAAGGAGCGGCACAGTTCGATATCGGTGCACTGCTGCAAAAGCCAGGACTGCAGCCTGCTGCTCCGCCACGAAATATGAAGAATATTTTGCAACCCTTCTTAAAACAACTTAAAACGTTCCCAGATAAGGAACCATTTTATTGTTTATAACAAATTAAAACTAGTAAAAAACGCAAAACAAAATTTTTGGTAGGTTTTCCAGCTCCAGGACTGCAAACCAGCGCGGAGGCACACATCGGAGGTTTCCTCGTGAGAGCGGCTGAAGACAACATTGCCAGCGACAGGTGCTTGCACCAGCTCAAGTCCCCTCTACACAACAGGACAACCGTTACGATAGCATACAACCTGGACCGTGGGGTACCGCGCAACCCCAGCCCCCGCTTCGTCAACTTTCTGATTACGTTTGAGAGCGCAGCCAATTCTGCCCAGACGTGGTTATTTGCACTGAGGAAGCCACTGCTGACGTTTACTAAAAGGGTTCTGCCGGCAATTGCGAGCAACCTGCTATTTGCCTGTGGAGTCAACGACTGACAAGATCACAGAACCGGCCCTGGCTGCAGTCGTCGTCAGGAAGTTTACGAGGCCTTTTCTGACGATCATTGCATCAAACATGATGGAGGAGCACCAGGCAAAGTAGGTCATAAGAGGAAAAACCGACTTCCCGAATTGTGTTGAAGCTGTAGGACTTCTATAAAAAAGCACGCATAAAATTTGTTTTGTAATTAGTGAAAAAAGCTATATATATATATTTTTTTTTTAAATTATTACTCTGTGAATTCAATAAAATGACATATTTGCGCACATAAGCTGCACAAAATCACCGGTTTCAGTATCGCACCGTGAATCGCGCAGCCTTTCCAGTTCAAATCGATGGGAGGGCTTTGCGCGCCGCCTCGTAGCCGCAACGCCAACTAGAGCTCCAGTAGCTCTCCCATAGGAGGGGCGCGCGATAGACAGGTCTCCCCCCTATTCAAGTTGGTCCTGGTTGGGACAGTGGGCTAACACCCCCCTCTTTCCACCCTATTTTCCGTTTCACAATAGGGAGTTTTAGGGAACCGTGTTCGCACATCCGATATACCGTACGATGGGCCATACGGTATACGAACTGCGCATTTGCCTACCGCATAAGACTTGCACATGCGCAGTGCGTACCGGAGGACCCATCGTAGAGCATCGGATGTGTAAAAACGGTTCCCTAAAACTGTAAAGTGAGTTGGACCGCAGCCGACGCTACGGCGCGGCGGAGCCAATGGAGCAGTGACAAAAGTGCAACGTCACGACGCTCCTCGCATTTGCGCGTTTGCGATGGCCGGCTTAACCAATCGCGCACAGGCAATGTGCTTTTTTGTGCGTGATGGGCTGAGCCGCTGTCGGTAAACGCATGAAGACGACGTGGAACACAGACGCGCAGGCTATAAACTTTTGCAAGGTCGCGGCTCATTCACTGCGATGGGTTGTCTTAGCTGGTGGTAACGTGCGCTCAAGAAGTAGACAAGGGTCGTAACGTTGAGGTATCAGCGCCTTGCGAGTGACCCCATCTGCTCATCGTTTCCTTACGATAAAATGAAGTGTGAAAATTAATTGGCAGAGCAACATGCGTTCTAGAAAAAGGGAACGCGACAGAACAGCACACAACAAAACAGCACGCATGTAAAAAGGCTGTAATAGGTAGCGTTTTATGAAAACAAAACAGAACGTAAAGAAAAAGGGTTAAACATTGCATGGCATTATTTAACAGCTACTGGAGAAAGAATAAAAAAAAAAAAAGTACGCTGGCGGCGACGTGATCGCACTCAAGTCAGTGTCCTGAGTGCTGCTGCTGTGTGATTGCAAAAAAACAAATAAAGTTATCAGTAGTTACTACTACTTAACTAGGCTAATCTCTGAAGAGATTGGGTAGTTAGAGGGGGTACCTTCGCGCCGATGTTGGTTGCGTTGTCTGGTTTTTTTGAAGTATCAGGGAAAGAGGAAAAATTATTGGGAAAAAGATATCCATAAGTTCGTTATGAACTGCCTGGTTTGTGGCGGTCCGTTGAGGTTCCGTAGTAATCCTCGTTTCGTAACTACCACCTAAGCGTAAAACGTCTCCCCCTCCCCCCCCCCCCCCCCCAAAAAAAAAAAAAAAAAAAGATCGGGAGATGCGTTGATTACAGATGCATTGATAGAAACGGTAAGATAAGGTGACTTTAATGTGGAGCTTATTCAAGGCGCACCATGGGCACCGATTCTGCGGGGTTCAATCGACGTGAATAAAATCTCCTCGAAACACGCGGCTGGAGCTCGCAGGCGAAAAGTTGTACGTTTTGAGTTAAATACACAGATTTTTCCGACGAAGGCCTTTATGGAGTGGAAACCGGTGAAGCAGTAACATGCCGCAGCCTCAATACTGTGGCCTTACACTGCAGCATGGGCTGAAGACACCGTTGCCGCACACGCTTTCTGTTTTTTTCTTTTAACAACTAACGACAGCACACTGCCGTGCGATTGAATTATTTAACGTAGACGATATCACCAGCGAACCTGCACGTCAAAATGAGCAAAACTGCTCGAAAAAATTGCGCTGGCTTAGCACGGCTAGGCCAGGATATACGTAGCGTGAGCTTATGCGCACAAAATGAGAGGCGCTATCAAGCGGCTCTGGCGCAGCGTCAAACTTGGCTACTGCGCAACGGAGGCGCACAGCTGGGCACGCGGTGGCGCCAGTGCGTGTGCCGCGGCTATGACGTCATTCCTCTGGAATGCGCAGACCGGCGAGGCGGGCGCGGCGTCTCCGGCGCGCCAGCTGTGCGCCATGTGACGTCACTGCTCCTCGCGCACGCGCAGCACGGAGCACGGATCATTATGCGAGCCACGCGAAACTGCTTAACCTCGGCCAGTGTAGCTCACGCTACAAACTAGCCAGAATACGCACCAGCGGGGGCTTCGGTACTGCCCAGGGAACCCTCATGCGCGCATTGAGTATGCTCCCCACTCCGAACTTGCTTTCAAAAGAACAGATTCAAAAAATTGGCCGTCGACGAGTTGGCTTTCGACGAAATGGCCTAGAACCTCAATTCCTTTACAGTGAAATATTTGAGACGCGCATTTTTTAACTTCAAACGCTATGTTTAGGGTATGTGTGGGGGGCCCGGGGGGGGGGGGGGGGGGGGGGGAGAGAATGTGACTCATAACTAGGGTTTCGTGTTACCCGCCGGTAAAAGTTTCGTCTATTAGGATTTATCTGATAAACTCTGAATTTAGATGTGCCAATCCCCCCCCCCCTTACACACACACACATACACACATATATTTTACAATTAATGGTTTAAACAGCGCGTAGAGTAAAAGGTCCTGGGAAAATGCCACCACAAATAGCTTTCAAATTTCGGTCAGGACAACAGGTCATTGTACTATCGGGTCAAGACAAAAGTCACTGTTTATGTTTCCGGTTTGGGTCATACTATTTGTGCCTGAGAGGAAGGAGAGGTTGTGTTTATGTAGCCGTGAAAGCTATATTATAGAAATTACATAAAGTGGGGAAGAGGACAGTTGAAACTCCTTTATTTCATTTCTGTTGAAATGAAATAAAGCCTGTATTTATTCCATGCTGTTCCATCAACCTACCGCGCGGCAAATGAAAAAAGGAGTTGAAACTCCTTTTTTCATTTGCCGCGCGGTAGGTTGATGGAGCAGCATGGAATAAATACAGGCTTCCCAGCAACTACCTGCAGTAGGATATTGATTTTAAGGTATCGACATGTATCGAAATAACGCGTGTGTGCCACTTTTGTTCTAGGACAAATTAGTATTGCCAGTAGTAATGGCACCAACGCCAAATCCAACTGAAGAAAATATTAATTATTACAATCGCGTTTTTTTTTTCTTTTTTGTCAAGCATACGTTTACTTTTGGATATTATTTGTTCATTTTTAATACGAAACACTGCAAAATTGAGCTCCGAATTTTGGAGAATTCGGAATCAAATAAAAATAAACTCCGATAAACTCCGAATTTTCGGCAAAAAATAAACTCTCAGAAAAACACACTCGGAACTTGACGAAAACTAAACTCCGAAAACACGGAACTCTACTCATTACCTCATGACCACTTCCTTTCGAAGTTTTCAGCTTGTCTGCGAGATCGGTTCAACTTTCAGCAAAAGCTCCGGGGACGCAGGGGTCTTCAGGACGAAATCTGGATTTTTCACCTGATAGGGATTTGTACCGAATTTTTCGTTAAAAGAAGAGAGTTTAATCGTGAAATCAAAAACAGAAACCAAGAGCGTCCGTAATTGCCGCGTATTTTTTAACACCCCTAGCTTCCGTCTACTAGAGGAGGGCATAAATATAAGTGTTTTATTGTCATTTCTGCCGTCGGCGCGAATTTATCACCTCTCGCAGTCGTGAAAATGGGGGAAAGCGCACCGAGTACAATGCTTGCTAATTTCTCCATTTTGACATTTGCCTCTCCTACCGAAGTGGTACTGAAGCTCATGCTCGTCCTGTGTACAAATACGAGCACACGACGATAATGTCACATCACGATAAGGCCCCAGTGCGTCTTACAGAACAGGTCGCGTCGGCTGCCAAAGACGGCAACAAATAAGAAGACCAGTACCTGGTACTCAATATACATTTTACACAAACGCTTTTAATTATTGCATTTTCGTTAGTATGCTGGTTTTCGTCGATAAACCTAATATAACTGAGATGTTTGTGAGTCTACAAATATCCACCGCAATAAACCGTAAACTTTTGTTTGGAATAAAAACCGAAAAAAAGTGCGCGGAATTTCAAATAATACAAACCGAAAACGCCGAACTCTAGTTATATTGTCAGTGTCATGTTTTGACGCTGTGCTGTTTTGACGTCGTGCTGTTTCGTCGCGTGCTATTTTGACACGTGCTGTTTTGTCGCCGTGCTGTTTTGACGCTGTGCTGTTTTGACACGTGCTGTTTTGACCGTGCTGTTTTGTCGCGTGCTGTTATGTCGTCTGCTGTTCTGTCATGGTGCCCTAGAAAAACACACACACACACACAAAAAGTGCGTTAAATCAACGTTTGAGGCAGGGCACCTAATGGGACCTGATCACTGCTGTCTACGGAACACAACGAATAGCAAATCCAAAGAAACGTTTTTGAAAACACTTCATAGCTGCCATAGGATAGTGAGAACGATATGACGGTGAGCAAAAGCATATTTGACGTTAGTTGCCCAAACAGCGTGAGATTGGCCCGCCAATGCATGGCGACACTGGCTCACGCTGTAGACAAAAAAAAAAGAATATGATTTATTCGGTGCAGTGCGACTGCTAGTCTGAGGTTATTATAGTGTTTCATGGAGAAGTGATGGTCAAAGTATGCCGTCGCAGTGTTAATGGTTTTTCAGTTCAGTGGTTCTAGGTTTTTTTATCCACCGAGAGCTCCCCACTGGTTGCAGATATTGACACTCACAGCGTACCGCGTGAATCTGGAAGCTGCATAATTATTTTGCCCTCTTTAGAGGAAACAAAAAAAAAATTATTGAGCGCCCTTAATCTCTCTCAGATAGCTTAATAATTTATTAAAAAAGCACTGTAGTGGATCTTGAGATCGTCTATTTATGATGATAACTCACTCTACGGGCTCTAAGTATCTTGAAAATTCCGAAATTACACTCATGGGCGGCGGATCTCCCTATTAAAAATTTAATCAAAGGTCGTGACACGCCCCCTTTTCTGCGCCTTGAACCAGACACCAGGGGCCGCCGTCAGACGGGGTTTTGCAGAGCCGTCTATAGTGAGAGAGTTTGACCAATGGGCGTAGCTTGTTGCCCACTAGAACAAGCTGATTTTGCGATAACACAAAATGGCGTTACATTTTTGTCTTTCTGACTCCCGAGAAATCGCATAGGGTTTTTATGAGTTAGAGTCACAAAATGGCGGACGAAAGTAGTCATCCTCCTGTTGTCAGACTACGCTGCTGTGGTTGCCAGGCTGTCAAAATCTTCTTAAGAAGGCCGAACTTTCTCAGAATAAATGGCTCTGGCGTTTTGAAACAATGATTGCTGAATTTTGTCTCCTACACCCATAAGTGGACGTTTTGGTCGTAATATAATGCAAAACGCGCCTACAAAGAGTAATAATAGGAAAGTTCAAAATCTCCACGCATTGAACTGTTTTCAATGTTGAAGTTTTATAAAGGTAATCGGTACCCGAAGATGCCCCCCCCCCCCTCTCAAACTCCCCTAGCCCCTCAACAAAAAACAGTGGGAAAGAAACTCCGAGTTTCGTGTATGTCCGTCCTACAAGTTGGGGTAAGGTAAAAAGTGGAGAGGATATAGGAAGGGAGGAGGCGGGCCAAAGTGGAAAGCGCGATGTGTACGTCGGCCTTTAACAAGCTCGCCTGCCTATACTTGCTTTAACTTCTAGAAGACATATGTCGTACCAAAAAAGAAGTATCTGGGTTTGTGAAGCCGGGTCTGGGCAGAAATATTCCAAAACGTATTCCCTAATAAAGACAATGAGATACACGTCAAAAGAGTTTTGAACGCAAGTATGGACAAAGACAAACAAGGAGAAACGTGACAGACACGGGCGGTGTTCGACTCACAACTCTACTTACACTACCTCGGCAAGGTCTTCCCAATTCGTTTTCTCTGAGGGCAAGACGGAAATGCAGATACTGAGATAGATTTGTCGATCGTGTAAGGGCTATCTCTTACATACTTTTGCGAAACCAGTAAAAATAAGTATTCCGGAATACAAATGCAGATACATAAAATATAATCTTTTTTTTGTCTGAACATTGGTAAGTGCGGAGGGTGCAGTTCGTGGCGAAATCAAATGGTAGGGCTTATATTCCTATCTTCATGTCCATTTATGCGCCTTCCTTTGACCTCAAACTCTTCATCGATGTACAACTTCAAACTTGAATGCCGCTGGAAAAAAATATGCTGCTCCCAGTGACCTACTGAAGACCAATTACTGCTTTCCATGCTTAACAAAAGGCGTCTGCCCTAAGGGAACCCGATTTTGCAGTGAGAGTGCGTCTTGTGAGGCGTAGTCATTAAAGAAGTGGCGCTGGGTTGAAGTTTTTAGTAAATGTGCCGCTGTAGCACCTGTGGCATTTCACTAACAGCTGGGCTGTCTAAATATTTTCTGCGATGTTTTTGGTGTTTTTGTACTGCTGTATTGTCGCAGATTTTCGCAGTTTTTTCAAACGGCCGATGCGACTTGAATTCAGGCTTAGAGGTTTTACGGCGAACACTCTGTCCAGCTTTGAATTCTCTACAATTGGCTCCAATTTAATCTACGAAACCCGCAGGGTACTCAGGTTTGGGCGTCGCAAGCGTGCAACATTTATTTCCGTTTATCATCCAGAAACGCAACTATTGGTGTAATTCATCGGAGGCCTTTCTGATGTATACTGTTGCCTTTTCGCGGAAACTTTGATGCATAAGTTACATAACATGCTATGCCGCAGCTGGACCGTCTGTCCCATAACAGTCGTTTTCAAGTCCCGACTGTTGGACGTCATGTTCTGTTCATCGCGGGATTGTGACTTATGCCAGAACGGAAGCACGTGTTGGGATGTGGTGCCTGAAACGCGGCAAAAAATTGTGTTACCAACGTCTCCATTTTATAATAGCTCGATTTCCGCCTGATGACGTGAACTAAGTGCCATCCTATCGCTTGCCGCAATCCTGGTGATGGTACAAATACGGAGATACAGAGGTGAACGCATCTGACGCTTGTTCTGCTGCAGATTAATCTCCAGCTTCACACTCCACGGGAGATTCAGCAGCCGGAAGTTGGGACGCCGCAACGATCGCGACACTGGCGTTTGATCCTAATTTTTTTCCGAAATTCCTACGATCAACAGCCAAGCTCCCGACGTCCGGCAACATGACACGCCTTCTCCTTTGACTTACGTTGTCGCCATTTTGAGACAACTTTGGACGCAAGGTCGGTATAGGCACTAACACACCAGTCGGGGAAACGTTCCAAACACACTTGGGCTAAGGGAAGTTCGTGTCGTGGTACGTGTGCTGCTATAGCTCTATGGATTTTGATGAAATGCAACTCAATTAGGGTTACTCTACTTACAAAAAGAGATATAATACTCGTATACGCCGCCACACATTACTGTTATTAAAGCACGATAACGTCCTCACTTCATTACTGCAGAAAAGTACACTTCGAACTAATGGCGGTACGTGCAACACGTTGTGTGGAAATTTTTAGTTACGAATGCGAGCATCTGTGAACCGCGAGTAGTAGCTGAGCAGGAACGCTTCCAGGGTGATGCACACGCACCTGTACAGCCGCCACAGTGTCGGAGCGCCCTCTTCCTGCTAGGTACTCTTGGTATTGGGAGACGACGCACACCAAACAGTAGATCTGCAGGTTCAACACAATGGAAGGCGTTCAGTTCAGTTGGAGCACGAGGTTGAAATTTTTTTTACGAGGTTTTAACAACCCGCTGTAAAAAACAATTTATGTGGGCAATACAATACAATACAATTAGCTTTATTTTTCAAGCAGTACTGGAGGGGTCCCCAGACAAAAAGCTGCTAAAAGCATCTTGACTTGGTCTGGGTTCCCCTTATACATGGCAGCAGCTCGGACAACAAACGTATAAAACACTTTATCAGGAAGATGAGAAAAATAAAACAAATCTACATAACACTGAAGTAGCAGAAAACTAAAATTTGTTATCGATAGTATTTTTTGGCGAGACACAGTTGACAATCCTTCGGAGCAGCGAGATGTGCTCAAACGACTCATGGACCTGCATAGCGACTGCTTCGCCCGCAAGATTTCCGAGATTGGACATATGAAAGTTGCCGAAACGAAGATTGAGCTCACGACCCAGGAGCCATTCAAATTTTGACCTTATCGATTTTCCTTTGTGGAAAGAGCTCACTCGAAGAAGTTGAAAGCAAAACTCAAAGAAACGGATATTGTCGTCGACTACCTCGTTAACGAAGTCTCTGCCGGAGGGGTACGACAGGGAAATCTCAAGGTGTAGTGCGTAACCAACTTTCTAGATTTCACGAATGTGCATCAGGTGAATCGATGTTTGGGTTTTACGAGCTACTTCCGGCAATTTGTGAAGGGGGTTTTCCGCCATCGCTGAGCCTGTGACAAGGCCGACGCCCAAGGACAAACCCTGGAGTTGGACGACGGAGAACGACGCTGCGCTTGACAAGCTGAGAAATAGATTCATTGAAAAGTTTCTCTTGGCACATTTCTCCTTCGACGCAAGAACAGAAGTTCACACAGATGCTAGCAAGAATGGGTTGGAAGCGATCATCCTACATAAGCAAGCGAACAGACTCCAGAGAACTCCAGCCGAGAAAAGAACAAAAGACGAAAAAAGAAAGAAATATGACTCGCATGAGCCAGAAACGTCTGCAGTTGTGTGGGCGCTCGAAATGTCTAGGACGAACCTGGTCGCACTGCACCTCAGAGTTGTTACTGACTGCAATACAGTGCGTGCAGCGATGATCAAGAGAACTCTTCTGCCACAGATTGGAAGGTGGTGGATTCGCCTCCAGGAGTTTACCTTTGATATCGAATATCGGAAGGGATGGCGCACGTCGACGCGTTCAGCCGCTCACTTTATGACCCTCACAAAGAGATGGAAGTTATCAGCGGTCTATCGATCCTGGCTACGAACATTGAAATCGAAGACTGCCTCGCTATTGCCCTCCCAAATGATCCGAATGTCATGGCATTAAAGGAGATACTCGAGAGAATGCAATAGCCAACGAGGTAGAGCGGCATAAAGCGATAAACTGGTATCCCGTTCACCAGCTAAATGTGATTTCCACCTGGTTGCCGCCGTGTCGAGATATTTTGACCACTAGACACGATACCGTATCACATTTTGAGGCTCTTACGCAAAACCGAGCCGAGATTTGTATTGCGATCGCTGCAAAGAACATAATAAACTATTTTTCAATGCTGTTAGCACTAGAGATCAGTATCTTTCTCCGACAAAAACCTAAAGTACAGGATCGCGGCTGACGGCATCAAGCGGAGCCATTGCGAAACTGTCTCAGTTTTTGTCGTAAAAGCACATTTTGGACTTAAAACAAACAAAACAAACAACTTATTTCGTCGGTACTGTTATTAAAAATCTATAAGACATTTTTGGTGCGCGGTACTTTGTTATAATATAGACGTAAAACCATAAGGTCACATGTCTAGTGGTCAAAAATGTGCAACATGGCGGCGGCCGGGTGGGGGTCATTTTCAGCTGCCTGTTTATCTCTCTAAGCCCCTTTACCTCGTTGGCAACACCTAATTAAAAAAGACCATCGCCTTCAAGATGAATTCTTATTGCGACACGATAGTTGTTCAAGAAGTTTCAAGACAGACGACCTTGACTGCAAAGAGTCCCAAGAAGAAAACCGACCAGGCGCTCTAATTTGGGCACTTGGTGGAAAGCTCGGCGAGGAATCTGATTGGTGGTGCGCGCTTGACCTTGGCGCCGGCCATTCACGGCGGTCAAATTCCTCGCCGGCTTTTTTCGCCAAGCGTCCAGATTAGAACCCCGCACGATCGGTGAAGCAGGACGGCAGAGTGTAACCCACGGTTTGCCACGGGGAATTATCAACTCTACTTACTTAGTGCCCATGTTTAAGACTATTTAGCTTTGTAGGACCGACAGCTTTAATAAAATTAGCCTTTAGTGCTCCACTACGTACATTGACGGTATAAGGCTTTGGGGACTCTAAGAAGGCCTTCAGGGACTTCAAAAGGTCTACGTAGTTCAGTTTGAGATCTTCTGCTTTAACGTACTGATAAATATAGTTTGATTTTATTTTAAACGTGCACGAAGTTAACATAGACAAGCCGTGCCAAAAGCTCAACGTCACTGCTTTCATCATCTATCCGTGCGTATATGATATCGACTCCTAATTGTCAAGTACATTTCACTTCCCTCTGATACAAAGTGAAACAAAGTAACTTCAGTCGAAACGTCAGAGAAAGAGAAGAAAAGAGCGAACAAAATGTTACTGCAAATAGTAAAAGGGTTCGAAACCTGTGGTCCCTTCATTGGGGCTTAGATGTTCTTGAATGTGGCCGCTTATATACCCGATGCGGAGGCTGAATGGATTAGCTAAAATTATTCTGTGGGTTTTCGGTTCAACAGAATGTTATACCAAGTATCTCAAAAGATCTGTGCAAATAAATGTTTTGCTCTCTTTACTTCAAAATGATATGTTCTTATGGCACAAATAATTAAATTCACTCCGTCGAATTATCCGTAAAAAGTACTTTGGAGCTTGCATTCGACAACGCAGTCACAGGTGGTTTACTGGTTTACAAATAATTCTACCAACGGCTATACCTGCCAGTTATACAACAAATAAAAAAGAAACATTTTTTTAGTTTTGTATTCGGTTCAATACTTAAAAAAAGCAGTACGAGCTAACAGCAATGTTCCATATGGCACCCATGCACAACCCCTTTTAATACACTGCATCCTGCTCAGCTCGGCAATCTCTTAACAATACATTACTTTTAAGATGCACAACAGGCCGCAAGATGAATAGTTTCCTAATAAACCATATAGCAGATTAAGTACGAAACGCAAAATAGTATACCGTTCTTAAGGGAGACGTTTGGAGAATATCATTCAGTAGAACAAATTACGGAACACTACTCTCGATACATTGACACCACGTTTCGTCAAAAAAATATGTTTATTTAAACCATTCATCGTATTGCATCTTTCACTAATGTAAAAAAAAAAAAAAATGGGTGTTTTTGTTTTATCAGGTTCAGTGATTTTGGTTTGCTACTTTTTTTCGATGGAAATATTTTTGTCATAGCAATTGCGTGTAAACATGAGTGCTTTGTATTTTTATATATGTGCAATTGCGTAATTTTGTTTCGTATTTTCATTGAGGGAAAGTCCTGTTTTTATTGTAGTTGTATTTATTTTTGCCACCTCTGCACGCCCCTGCCGAGTAAGCGGGAAGAGCGGCCTCGTTAAGCCACCAATTGTCGGGTTTTTGCATCCTCCCCCCCCCCCCCCCCCAATCGTCTGTACGTTTTGCGCAGACAGAATAAAATAAAAAAAAAAATTATAAAAAATGAAGGTTCTTACGTTTAATGCACAGATGGTGTAATCCACGACGCAGAAGATAATGGTCACCAGGTCACTCAGCTGTGAAATAAATAGAAATCGAAACATTTAGTAAAAGTGCAGTTAATGACCTCGAATCAGTCAAGTTACCCCAGTGGATCCCACCTCGGTTATGCGAGGGCAAAGTTGGCGTAGTTGCGGGCAATGCGAGGGCCCGCCCACTTGGGCTTTCGGCGCAGTAGCACCCTGGGTATGCCCAACTTAGGCAACACGGGGGCATGCCCAACTTGTCCTGCCCGTGTCATGCCCCCGTGGTGTCCCACCTCGGGTATGCGAGGACAGAGTTACCACAGAGGTGGGCATGCCGAGCTGGGACTGGCCATGCAATGTCCTCGTGGGTCACACCTCGGCTATACTGGGACAGTGTTAGCAGAGAGCTGGGCTTCAGGGGGGCACCGCGTGGGCATGACGAACTTGGGCTGCCCGAGCAATGCCCCCTTGGGTTCCACTGTGAATGCGGGGACAAGGTTAGCATAGATGTGGGCTCCAAGGGGGAAAAACGTAGTCATGCAGATCTTGGTCTACCTGTCCAACTCCCGAAACGGCACTTTCCGCTGATATTGGGAATATTTAGCGCACATTCTGGAAATTCCACATAAGAGATCGGCTTAACTTGATACCAAATCACCGGGAATCGCAACTTTAAGTGCGAGAAAGAAATTTTAGGATTGAAAAATCTTTATTACTAACTTACTACTGAGCGTTTATAGACGGAAGGCCGTTTTACGTGGGGTGGAATTTTTTACACAAAGTGAATTCCAGGCACGCTCGTTGTAATGCCGTTATCTGTTCTAAAACTCGGTGTCTGTAGCCGGTTCAAGCTGGCTATGTATCCCGATTACCTGTTAAGCAAGATGTTACGTGAAAATCTGCAGAGCTTTTTCGTTGAAAACTGTAAACTGGGCACTTGAAATGCCCAGTTTTTGACGGCCTTGCTCAAGACGTTTTAATTACCTGTCCAAATGCATCAAAATGATAAAAATATTTCTAATATACAAACGCAGAACGTTAGGCATACTCAATTTGGGATGCGCCGCAATACCCCACACCGTCGGGAAACGATGAAATAACCTCGAACGTGATGAGGTTCTCGGGGGGACCTCATGAGCGCTGCCTACGTCGGCTCACTATGGGCCCCACGAGGGGGGCCCACTTGGGATGCCTAAGTAGGATCCACTGCGGGTTCCACGACGGGGAGCCCATGTGGTCTGCCCAAGTGGGCCCCACTTGGGCCCGACTTGTAAAACCGACGTGGAACCCACGTTGGCTGCTCAGGTGGGACACACGTTGGCCCTCTTTTCAGGGATAACTTTGTGCTACTTCAGACATACTAAACGCATGGCCGACGGCAGGGAACGTGCACACAGTCAAGGGACCGGAAAAAAACTTACCGCGTCTGCGAGAAAGTAGAACGACAGTGCGACGTCCAGAATGGTTGTGATCGACACACAGACTATCCACGGAAGGAGCAAAATCCGATTATCCTGTTCAGATGAAAGAAAAAAACAACAGAAGCGACTATAAGGAATCATTACTGAAGGTGAGTACGGAGACGAGCTGTTTCGCATGAAATATCTTGCGCGTGCATTTCTAGCAAAACGCATATATCTGCTGGAATACTCACCTGCAACCCTATAATTAAGCTGCCGCCACAGCTTCCAAAAGGCGCATTCCTCACGTTGTCATGTACAAACCAGTGTTAAACTAAAAATCAGCTACCAAATTTACGATTGAAATCTCCGACACTGAGCTAGCATATAAATCATTTTCCCTCCATATATACAGCCAAGGGCACAAAGCTTATTTTTTTTTAATAACATTACCTTCATAGATTAATGTAAATTTTCTAGAGACGAGTACTATGCTTGGCGTCAATTGCACATATATCAAGTTAGTTCTTAAGATATATTAAATTAGCCCAATTTACTTAATTCTGTATTTAATTTTTTACGAAGAAAATTAAGAATTCAGACAGAAACCCTGACTGAACACTTAAAGCCTGCCAGAAAAAAATTCACCTACAAAAAAAAAAATTGTTCACAGAGGATTTTTCGTGGCCTTTCTCCCTCCCTCTTTACAAATAATTACGACAGTATATCCAACAGTAGTCTATAAAAATTATGAATAATTAGAACTTGAAAATAAAGTGATTCAAAGCAAAGAGCAACATTTATCCCACGAAGGAGTGACAAAAAGTACCGCCTTCTATTGATAGTTTTACACCCTGAGAGAGAGAAAATTAATGCAAAAGCGAACTACAGAGCTCCCTGTTTGGTGGTTCATGTTTTGATCTTGTTTTTAGTTCCGCGTGTCAACGTATGATTTAAAGTAGCTTTACATGGAGCTCCCCTGTGTATTGGTTCTTTTCTTGTATTTTTTAAAATTTAATGTTTGTTAGTTATCTTAGATAGTACTGAATCACTGCTTCAATTAATTTGGTTGTTCCAAGACCGGCTTGCCTGCATTCGAGCGGTTTTATACTATATAAATGAAGCTTAATAATATCAAAACCTACCATCAAAGTCAAATTGGACGTTTTAGCGATTTATACAGCGTAAGGTCGGTCTGCCAGGATGAGGCGACACTGGTTTACACGGTAGATGAGCAATTTTGCCAGTGCAGTATGTCTGCTAACCAGGGGTCTTTAACGTGCATCACGCAGTAGTGATACACGACCGCACGCCGGTGCGATTCTCATCCAGATCGAAACGGACAGGGGTGGGGCTCGAACCCAGGATCCCTGGGTTCTGCAGCGCGAGCTTTCGCCCCACGCGCGTCGAGCTGGGTGTGCGCTTTAGCCCACTTTACCATCGATCCCCCAAAACCTACCATCCTTTACTCTAGCGGTAATGGGAATTAAGCTAGAATAAAATAATGTTTGACTTACTGTACAAAGACCAATAATCAGGACGAGAGATGCGATGGCGGACAAACCGGAGAATATGACCATCAAGAGGACAAACACGAAGATGACCGCTGTGAAGGAAAAAATAGAAAACAGGTTAGCTTATTTTTTTTTTACATTATTCATTATGGTAATGATGCACAGCATATATAAATAAAATATTAGTCACGAACAACTTAAATGCTACAATACTTACGTGAAAACTGTCAATATATGGTGTTCCGATACATGTGTTGCATGAGAGTGATGTGACAAAATAGGCTTGAGTCCGTTGTGTTGCAACTCAAGAAGGTAGGGCGAGGGAAAGAGAGGCAGGAGAGGAGGAAGCAAGCGAAACGCTGGAGAGAGGAGGAGGTTTCCCCCTCTCCTCTTCAGCGTTCCATCTGCTTTCTCCTCCACTGCCTTCCTTTCCATCGCCCTTCCTTCTTGAGTTTCAAGGGACTATAGTTTAAGAAAAGAAATCGGAGAAACTTTCTATAATTGTCTCAGAACATGAACATAAACAGCTAACATAAGATGAGGGTCATTAATTTATGAATGAAGGCGTTTATAAAAAAAAAAAAATCTTGTTCCCCTCTCTTTTTTTACTCTAAGTGCAGGAACTGCATTAAAATTTAAATATTTTTAATAAGAAGTTCGACAAATATGACGACATGGCTTAGAAAACGCTGCTTCGTTTTAGCACTAGACTTAAAGCAGACTGCCAGAAACAATTCTAGAACAGGAATGGAATTAAGGACTAACATTTTGTTTCGAAAAGCAAGACATCAATAAGACTGGTTGTAATATCGGACAATAGGTCGAAATCGAACCAATGATAATTATTAGGTGATTGATATATTCTATAAGTTAGTCGCCAACAACCGATTGAAGTGGTATGAAACACGACATTATGGGTAATATTTGTACAATGGTTGGCCGTAACAATATTGAGAGCTGAGGAAAGTGACCTACCTCTATCTATATGCTTATAAAAAGGAAATATACCCGAAAAAGCGTTAAATTAAAAGCCACCTTCACATGCATTTTATTTTCATATGGTAACCCGTTTAGTAAAGAGCTCAAAGTTTTCATCAATAGGAATGCTGTGTTGCGAGCAACCTGGAATATGGAATAAAATCTGTTACTGGATGAACATTTCAACTGCTCTGTTTTTAATGCGAAAAAGTGTGTTCGAAGTGTGAGCAAGAATTTCAGATGTTTTGCAAGCTAAAAACAAAATAATTAAAAAGAAATACATGTACTGTAAATTTATTTCCGGTCAAATTTCTATAAATATGTAGACAAAAGCTAATAAGAGGCGAGAGCGAGTTGATTCGTACTTAATTTAATAGTACACAGCCCGCTCGCTTTTTTTCTTTTGTATGCTTTATATTTTTATTTTAAATAAAGAAAACCTCAAAAATTCAATTTCATTTTTTGGTATTTATTTTTAGTGTATTCTGGGTGTGATATCTAGCTGCACGTACGACAAATATTATGTAAATAGTTATGCCGATCACTAGATTATTAGGTATCAGGCAATAATAAATACGAAAGGCTTGAACGACAAAAATCTTCGTTCACATCGTCTGCATCAACATGTTTCTTTTTTTTTTTTTTACTATTCTTGACTTGAATATACGCAGACCAAGTTAAGGTGTCAAAAATGTTTAATTTAATAAAGTTCTGGGTACTCTCGTTCAAACTTATCCCGAAAATTGAGCCTGCAAGTCAGCCTAGTTGGTTTTGATGCATGCTGCAGGTTTTACGCCGAAAAACACAAGGCCAAACTACACATGTGGAAATGTGTAGTTTGGAATTTTTTTTTATGTTTCGTATAATAAAAGTTTAGCTGAAAGTATGCCTTGTCCTCTGTTGCATCTAATTTTTCGCCCTGGTGCTTTTCGCCCCCCCCCCCCCCCCTTCCCTTTTCCGTAAGGCTTCAGTATTTCCCCCGGAAAGTTTTTGACCCTTGTTTCTACTAAGAACCCCACCGCGAGGTCTATTTGTTTGACAAAAGAGAATGCTTGTCATGTACCCGAAGTCTCGCGCACTCCGCTTTGATTTTCACTTGTAAAAGCCCTTTAAACATTCTCACAGTGATTCCAGATTCATGCGATGTGGAGGAAACAATAACTATCTCCTCTGCCGTTGTGGCCGCATGTCTTATCGTTAGGTTAGGGACTTCATGTGCTCCAGTCCTGATAATATTTTTCCTAAAATCCTCTAGTCTAGAACACCCTCTCAAATGGATATTTACACTGTACTAGGTTGAAGGACCTACCTTCTGTCTGGAAGGTAGGAACAGGCGTTCCAATATTTAAGAACGGTGATCGATCGTTATATTAAAATAATAAACCCATGTTGCAAAGTTTTGTATCATTCCGACTTCGATAGTACATCATTTGTTCTCACGTCGTTCCTCACCGCAATCAAAATAAATTTTATGCGTTAGCTTGAGAAAGCTCGTTTTGACGAAACCCCGGCGGTGTGTTTCGTTTGTCAGCTGTCGCGTGCGACGCTTCTATTGGTCCGAAGCGCTGACGTGAGCTTCCGTCAACCTTTCCCTCTCTCGCCGGCGCTGACAAACTGACAGACACCGCCGGGTTTTCGTCGAAACGAGCCCTTTTGTTCTCGGCAAAGACACGCACACAGCTGTTGCGGAGCCAGAGATGGGGAGGCGCCGCGCAACACCTCCAAAATGACAAAGCCCTAGTGCTGAATGGGATGGCTTAATCAGAGAAGGCCAACGCTGGACAGAGATTGGAAACGTGTGGTGCGTCAGCGCTTGGCTTCGAGTCAAGTTTCAGCTTAAACGTTGTCGCCATCGTCGTGTGAAATCTGTGCCCAGAGTTGGCCTTCTCTGGAAACGCCATCTCATTCAACACTACGGCTTTGTTATCCAGAAAGTGCTGCGCCATGGCACGGTGGGATGCGGGCATGCTCAGTTGCCGCTCTGCCATCGCCGGTTGTTCTTCGCTCTAGGTTTCCGTAGTAGCGGTGCGTGGGCCGTGATGTTTGTGTGTGTGTGTAGTTAGAACGATGGATGCAGATGACTCCATGAGTGATATGAATGCGCTTCCTTCTACGAGTGGTACGAATGTGGTTCTTTTCACGAGTGATATGGATAACCGTATCCAAGAGCGTCAACGTGCTCTGACAGGCACGATACAAAAAGGGCTAAAAATATTATAGGAAGATCTATTGGTGAATTTTTGGAGAATCCGTTAGCAGGACCCTTGGGAAATATTGCACGCGTCCCCTTTTGAGAAACGCGAACGCTGAACCCGTAACGAGGCCAGAAAGAGACAGCAAAAATAGAGGAAGCAAAAGAGAACGACAACAAAAATAGGGAAGGGGTCAGCGTTAGCATTTACCAAAGGTGGACGTCTGTGGCATTTCCAAGGGTCGTACTAACGCATTCACGAAGAATCCACCAATGAATCTTCCTGTAATTTGTTTCTCTAAAAATATCAACTTTTCTTTCGAAGGGGATTCTCTTTCGTGCCTCAGTTACTGGAGTACACCCATATCTTACACACAAGCCTCAAAGCTCACAAGCAAACTGGTGCGGTACTTCGTCTTTTTAAAAGCTTTTGATGGGGTCCATCATTTGCATTGACTAACAAAATTGTCAAGTGTTTAAATAAGTCACAGCCATCTCATGGGTTCGTAGTTTTTTTGTTATCCTCTGGTACACAATTCACTTGTCGACACTTTTCTATCTGAACTGTGCAACGTTACTCTAGGGTTCCTCAGGACACAGTTCTTAGCCCTTTCCTTTTTCTAATTTTTATCAATGATATCTCACACTTCATCACCTGTAAAGTGCGAATATTTTATGATGGCTGCATGCTATGCCGACATGTTAATTCCCGTAACAACCACATACTTTTGCAGAATTATTTAATTACCATAATGAATTGGTGCTCTGACTGGCTACAGCTCCCAAAAGTGCTAAAAATGAAGGGCCGTCCAGTTCTTCAGTAAGTAAATGGATTAATCATGAAAACATTTTTTTTTGAAACCCAACCTGGGAAGCTATTCCGTCATTCAAGTACCTTGATGTGCTTTTAAATAAGACTTATCCTTGCCCCCCCCCCCCTTTCCCCCGGCCTTTCCCGGCGCACACACACAGATATTGAACAGATCTTTCGCCGCATCACAAACTCTGGGGTACATAAAGCGTTGCTTACCCTCCGCATCTTCGAAATATCGTCAATTAGCCAATCTATCGTTTGTCCCTCCAAGCCCGGAGTATTCTGCTGCTGTCCGGATTCGCCACCAAGCGTATCTTATCACAGAATTCGAAACCGTACAAAACCGTGCCACCCTTAGGGCGATCGTCTCCCTGCTGTGGAGAAAGATGGCGGAGTTCGTGTAAGACAACGACGGCTTCGGGCGGACCACTTTGCAGCAGCCGAAGGCGCTCTGGCCAAGACCCACTCAGACCGCCTTGACGAAAATGGTGGAACCTTAGGCCTGCACTGATGCAGACGACAGCGGTGCACTGCATGCGTGTATAGTATGCATATACATATATTGCCGCGCGCAGGGCTGAGAAAGCAACGCTCGGTCTCGGACCTCCAGAAAGTTCCCGTTTATTCATGTAGCGCACGCACGTAACTTCTATTATTTATATCCATGTATCTTCTGCTTTTGTTTTCTAGAAAGTGCGTGTTCATTCTCGCCCCGATCACGCGACGCTCGAGCCGCTTTCGCCGAATCTTCGAGATAGCGACGTACTCTAGATAAGAGGCCGCCCGCGACCTTGTCGAGTCAGTCTCGCCTCAGCGTTTGATCGTGCTGCTTCGCCGCCTTCGACGCCCGCGACGCTCTGTTGTTATCTTTCTCTTGTACCCTTTTATTTTTGGCACAAGTTCGCCACATTAAACGTTTATTTATTCCTGTTTATTTCTTGTTTATTAGTCACCACCCGTGACAATATGTATATGCATGCTATACACGCATGCATTGGCCAGTTCTTTATATAGAACAGGCCAATAAAAAACGTTCTAACAACAACTAGATCAAGATACGAGCGCACCGAAATGGTCACGGCTAGAAATTATCAATTGGGCCTAACTAA